CACTGCAGAGCACCGTTGAACTCTGCTGGTCTGTAAGGTGGGTGTAGACACCATGGGAGTTTATCCTGTGCCGGGGGCTCTGCAGGTGGACCCTTTCCCTGACTGAGTAAAAGACAGAGCTTATAGACTCCAATCACTAATTCCCAAACTTCGGCGTATATCTGAATTAGGTAGGGAGTAGGGGTTTTAAATGCCTCTGGGTGGACCCCAAGGCCAGAAGTCATATTCAGAAGGGTTGAGGTGTGAGGGAATTAGCATATGATATCAGAGCCAGATATTAAAAATTTAGAGATAAAGAAGTGAGAGCAAAAGGTCACCTTGTTTTACAGATGAAGGTGAAATTGGGGGACTTGGCTTGCCAACACCAAAACTCAGAATCCCACTTTCCCACCCAGTCTCACAGGGTGCTGGTCAGCCTCATCGGCAGGGACCCTGCCCCGTAAAACTCAATGCATGGAAGAGCAAATTTAAGGCTAGTATGTGGGCTCCTGGAGGAAGGATGAAGAGGCTAAGCTATGTAAACTCACATCTCTCTCAGAGTCACCCATGGGCAGGAGAAACACAGGGCTGAGAAGTCAGGAAACCTCGCCTTCTAGAAACCCTTGAAGTCAGGGAAGCAGCTGCCAGTGATGGTGCAAACCTAGGAACCTGCGCTTCCGAGGAGAACCCCGGGGATTTCTGAAGCGCTTGGCCCTCAGCCGCCTACACCTTGACCTTGACCAACCGAGGTCCCAAATGGGTCAGGTATGCTCAGTGACCCCCGCAGGGAGAGCCCATGGCAGCGCCCCCCTCTGCTTCTGGCTGGGCAGTGAGGCTTCCGAGTAGTGAGCACTTAGGCAGTGCTGCATATGTTCTAGCCCCCAGTCTTAACATGTATGAGGTCATTTAAATACGTGAAGTCCCAACAGCCAGAGGAGCTGCATAGCAAGGCAGAGAGAAGTGAAATCATTGTTTAGAGGCTACACAGCTGCAAAGTGGCAGGGCCAGGAAGAAGAAACTAGCAGTCAGATCAGTCAGTCCACAGCGTTTCCTACCAGCCACCTGGTTCCCTTTGTGCAAACACAGACCATTGTGGGGAGGGGGGATGGTGTGAGCTCAGGGGACCCACATGAAAAACCCAGCATGGTTGGAGGGATCTCAGCCAAGTACCTGTCTTTGCTAACATGTTAGTAATGGGTAGTGCAGCTTATCAATCCATCTAGAAGGCAAATTGAGGTCTTCAGAGCTGTGTATTATTCTCAACCAGTGAATATTAAAATAACTACGATCATGTTGCTCATTAAGTTTTGTTTTTTACTTTCTTTTTTTAATTTGTTTTTTAAGGAATACAAGTTTCATAAGTACAACTTTAGGAGTATAGTGATTATTCCCACCATACTCGCCCTCCCACCCACACTTCAACCCCTCCTCTTCCTCCTCCCTCTCCCCTTGCCAGTACTATTCTCCATTAAGGTTCATTTTCAATTAACTTCGTACACAGAAGACCAGTTCTGTGCTAAGTAAAGATTTCAACAATTTGTACACACACACACACACACACACACACACAAAATGAGAACTAGTTTTACAGTTAACTCTCATAATACAACTCTTTGAGGACAGAGGCCTGCATGGGGAGTTAGTGCACAGTGACTCCTGTTGTTAATTTAACAATCAGCACTCTTATGTATGACATCATTGACCACCAGGGGCTCTTGACATGAGCTGCCAAGGCTAGGGAAGTCTTTTGAGTCCACAAACTCCAGCAGTATTTGGACAAGGCCATAAGCAAAGTGGAAGTTCTCTCCTCCCTTTAGAGAAGAGTACCTCCTTCTTTGATGGCCCCTTCTTTCTGCTGGGGTCTCACTCACAGAGATCCTTCATGTAGAACATTTTTTGCCACAGCATCTTGGTTTTCCATGCCTGAAATGCTCTCAGGCTTTTCAGCCAGACCAGGAAGCCTTAAGGGCTGATTCTGAGGTCAGAGTGTTAATTAAAGTGATTGTCATTCTATGAGTCTGTTGTGTGGACTCTCTTAAGTGTGTTTTGTTTGCTTATTTTGTTTTGTTTTGTTTTTTAATGGCTTGGCACACATGCTGAAATGCAGCCCAGGTGCAATTTGAGAGAAAAGAAGTCAGAGTAGAATTCCTTGAGATAATGTGACTGAAGGTTAATCAGACCAGTTAGTCCTTCTCTGGAGATGAAGATCCTGGGGCCAAGCCTTCAGCAGGATGCCCATGTAAAAGAAACTCTTTAGTGCTGTTGACCATCTTTGCAGATTTCCATGCAAGGAGGCAGATGCCTGAGTTCCCAGAGCTGAGGGGAGGGTGAAGGTAACATGATTTCTGACTGCAGAATCCGGGACTCCAGCACACACCAACATTGGCCAGTCTCCCACACTGGAGAGAGTCACCCAGCGCATCCCTAGCAGACACTTACTGAACACCTACTGTGTGTTAGAGATTACATATTCCCTGCTCTGGGGCTAATCTAAGACATGGATATTTCCTAGTGGGATCTGAGGATGCCTGAATACCCACCAGTCTATCCACTTTAAAGGGTATAATTCAGCTCATGGCAAAACTACCCATGGGAAGTACTAAATAGAGATGTCTTCAATCAGATGTGCGTGAAGATGAGATCGTGATTTAGACTTGAGGTTATTCATAGGAAGCTTCGTGCTGGGGGTGGGTTATATGGGCACACAAGGTCACTGCCTGCCAAGGGGCAAGACACAGGCGGGAACCCAAGTAGCAGAACCCTACATTTTGTTTATCAGGAGTGTGGCAATTGGGCAGTTTGTCTGAAGAGGTAAATAGAGGCAAAATAAAATGCATGAGGTATCACACACAGCAAAATTTGGACTTTCAGGTATCTGAAGGTGATTTCCTGAAATTCAGAGAACCACCGTAGTGCAGTCAGTGAATGATGGGTCTCCCTTTTGTCAATTCTGAGTCTATGGCACTCTTTGCCATGCCAGGAAACACTATGGCACCAACTGGAGGTCTTCAGTCATTGTGAACCATCTCCCCCAAGGACAATACTTCCCCTTTGCAACTTGCCCTCAGTGTGTGGTTGTTAAATGAAGCCTCCAGCTGGGTCACAGCATGGGGACTCCGTGCACAGCTTCCTCTGCAGAGGGCACGCCTCTCAGATCTAATTGTTTTTGCACAAATGTCCCAAGCTTGTTGCCTGTGGAATTGATTGATTCTTGCACTCTCCGAATGGGTGATGTGTTTTTTAGTTTTTTGTTTTTTTCCTGAAGGATTCTACAAGTTTGGGATATGATCATATACAATGACAAAGTGTGTGGTAGTATTTTTCCCATGCCTCTAATTTATGTATTTGTGCTAGGGTGATGATTTAGATAGGAGCTCGATAAATTGATCAAATAAATTACACCAAAGCCACACACCATCATTTCAGGGAGCTGTCACCATCCCAAGGAGGTTCTCTATCACCCGGCGTTGTGTTCCAGGAGGACTGCTCTGTTTCTTAGCGTGCCACTGGGCTTTCATTTGGCCAGGAAGCACCTTGTTTCTCAGATTGGCCAACAGCATAAGGAGTTCAGCTCCGAAGGTAATGGTTTGCTGTGGAAGGCGACAGTTATTAGTGGTGAGATCTTTAGCGAGTTATCTAAACTCTCTGAGCTTCCGTTTCCCTTTCTTTAAAATAGGGCTTTGGGACTCTTGCCTCAAACATGTGATATAAGAGTAAGCAATGACACCTTGAGACATTGGAAAGCATCTGGGTGGCAGATGAATGTGATTCCTGTCCCGGCTCCATCCCTGGTCCTTCGTGAGCCTCAGTTTCCTAATCTGTAAAATGGTGTTGGTGATGAGTGCAAGAGGGCATCTCCCACAGGTGGCAGGATGGAGTGGTGTAAGGACACCAGGTGGGTCTGATACCCTACGTGGCAGGTCTGGAGACTCACCTCTACCCACATCCCAGGGACATCGCTGCCCTAAGAGACTGGCTCCAAGCCTGACTCACCTGAGATGCTGCGGTGCACCTGAGACCAAGGCCAGTGTCATAGTCCAGCTCTGGGGGCAGAGGAACAGGTGTTCCTCGAGGCAGCACTCTGTTGACAGGACGATTGTTGACATAAGATGGAGATATGCAGAGGAAGCAGTGAGTGTGAGAGCAGAAACACTCAGAGAAAGTGGCCAAGGGGTGGCTCTTCTCTACGGGCTCCCATCTCATCACCCTTAGCCCATGCTCAGAAATTAGTGTATAGTTGGAAATATTAGAATTGGAAGAGCAATGCATTAGTCCATGAATATGAGTCCCATGAGTTAGGGAATGTGTGCGCATGGATGGTTTCAGATTCTGACTTTATCTAAGATTAACCTAGATATCCTTGGGTAAGTTAATTAACTGCTCAGAACCTCCTTTTCTTTAAAAAAAAAAAAAAAAAAAAAAAAAAAAAAAAGGGATAATAAAAATGGCAGCCTGGGAGCCAGTGCGGTGATGTGGTGGGTAAAGCCTCAGCATGCAGTGCCAGCATCCCAAAAGAGCACTGGTTCGCATCCTGGCTGCTCCACTTCTGATCTAGCTCCCTGCTAATGCACCTGGGAAAGCAGCAAAAGATGGCCCAAGTGCTCGGGCCCCTGCACTCACGTGGGAGACCTGGAAGAAGCTCATGGCTCCTGGCTTCATCCTGCCCAGTCCCAGACGTTGGGACTGTCTGGGGAGTAAACCAGCATATGGAAGATTGATCTTTCTCTCTCTCTCTCCCCTCTCCCAATCTTCCTCCCTCCCTTTCTCTCCATAACTTTCAAATAAATAAATAAATCTTTTTTTAAAAAAAAATATGGCAGCTTAATGGTGAGAATTAACTGTGTTAGTGTAAGTTACATCCTTGGGTCAGGGCTGCCAGTGCCAGAGGTGGATGCAAGTGAAGTAAGTGGATGCCATTGTTGGGACCGTGCTTTGCCGTTACCGTATCCGGTGTACATTGCCTGCTGCTCCAGGTGGCTTGCTGTCATGTTGACACCGTTTGCATTCTCTGTATGTTGCAGGTCAGCAGGCCCTGGGCTTGGTAGAGAACCAGAGCGACTGGTACCTTGGAAACCTGTGGAAAAATCACCGTCCGTGGCCAGCCCTTGGCAGGGGCTACAACACAGGTAAACCTTCCATCCCTCTACCCAGGCTGTCTGGGCGGAGTTTCTTTTCTTTTTTTTTTTTAATTAAAGCATGTATTTCTAATATAACCCAATTAGAATTTGAAATTTGTAGCTTCCAAATGGCTGCCACAGTGACCTGTGTCAGACCCATCAGGACATACTGGAATTTTGTCATTCCACTCTGTATTGTCAGATCCTATTATTATTATTATTACTTTGGCGTTGGGGGCACAGGAAGAGGTCGCCTGGCTGCCTGCACTGGGCAGTGGATGGCACATGGGCAGCTGAGCTTCCAGTCCTTTTTTTATTTTAAAGCCATCGCTACAGACAGGCAAAGTAGCCAGTGTGCCTTGACTGTCTTTGTCAATATCCCCCAGAAAGCCCCTCTCCTGACCTTGAGGCCCACGTCCTACTGGACATCTTGGCCCACGTGATGCTTGTGGGCTGGAGATCATTCTGCCATAACAAAGAACCCCAGCAGGTCAGTTTCTTACACAAAGGCAGTGTCTTTTTCTGCATCCTTGGCCTCATGCATTTGCAGTCTCCGGGGATCCGTGCCCACTGTAGGTATTCAGGATTCACCTGGCGGCTCCCTTCCAGTGCTGGGTGGGAAAGTAGCAGAGGCCGAGTCCTCTCCTACAAGTCCCCATTTAGAAGTGACTCAGTTGCATGCCCCATGTGTTTGTTGTGTGGCCAGGGCTGGTCCAAGGACAGCCTCCCACATGCCCGGCAACAGAAAAGGCAGGAAGGACGTGGCGATGGGCACGTCGGGGTACCACTGCCTTCAGACCCCGTGGGTGTGGATCAAGCCCATCACTCCACCCTGCTACCAACCCCAGACCTGCTGCTCCTCCGTGACTGGTCTCATTCGCCTGTTCTTCAGCAACCGTCTATTGAATGCTTACTCCGTGTGGCACCAGCGGCAGCTGGCTTGCTTCAATTCTTTTTCACACCGACAGAGTAATGAATTACAGTCCAGAGAGACCAAAGTAGGGGGAGAGTGGAGGCAAGTTTATTAAAGTACGTCCTCCAAGGGAGGAACAGACCAGTCGAGAGCACGTGGCACTCTTTCTCCTGGTTTGGGGCTTTTTATCCCTCAGGTACGAGAGCCGTGGACTGGTGAGGTGGCCTTGGTGCACATGAGTGCTGTTTGTGATTGACATCTGGGAGCTGCATCCCCTCGGGCTCCCTGTGCACGTGGCTGCAAACTAGTCTGACTTCCCATTTGATCAGGATACTCTAATCACAAGTTAAACCGCAGCGTGGGTGGTCTTGGGTGGGTCTCGGTGGAGAACGGGTCCTTGGTGTCACCCCTCGAGGAGGGTGGTGTGGCCCCTCTCAGTGGCTCACGTCTCATTATCCTCCTCACAGGTTTACACCTTGTGGGGTGTGTCAGGGCTGAAACCGCAGCAGGCCCCACTCCTAAGGCTCAGCTCTGGCCTTTAAATGCCCCTGGAGCCTTCCACCGCCCCCTCCCCACCCCGCCCCGACCCTCCTGGCCACGGCCTCAGAGCCCTGTTCTCGAAGGACACCTGCTCATGATCTTTGTCACGATGAGAACTGGGGACTCAGGGAGCAGTGGGGTGGGTGGGTCAGGCCAAAAAGCCCTGGGACCCCATATCAAGGGCCTGTACATCTGCTTGGTTGGAGCAAAGTGTCTGGGGATGGTGCCACCTGAAGCTGAGCTTGGTAAAGCCTGCCCTGGAGGGGCAGTAACCGTTTGGTTGCTGGATGGTAGGAAAGTCTGAGCAGCCGAGGCGGAGTCGGGGGAGGTGCTGGGATGGGGAGGAGAGGCCAGGGGCATGGTACAGCAACTCTATATTAGCAGGTAGGGAAGTATTTTTGCATTTCCATACTGTGTGAGCCAGTGCCTCTGTATTCCAGCTGAGTCTTACCCAGGCGTGGTGCCAGCTGCATCCTAGGTGTTAATCTCATCTGATCCTCACGTTAAACCCGTGAGGCAGGTGCTATGCTTATCTCGGTTTTATAGAAGAAACTGAGGCTTAGGGAGTTGAAGGCTGCAAACCTTCCTTGCTTGAACTCTTATGGCTTCAGGATCAAACACTTTTTTAAAAATAGAGGACATGGGCTCTGCCCTTGGAGAGTCTGACCTTGGAGGGCCTAGGACGGTGCCCTACAAGAGGCCTCTAGGAGGTGGCAGGTGCCCAACGCCTGGGGGCCTCCCCTGATAAAACAAGGCACTCCTCCTCATCCCAGCATGCTCCCCCAGGGAGGCGTCCCGGGTCCTTCTGTGAACCCACAGAGACCAACGAGAGGGCTCTGCGTGCTTTCCTTCGGGAAGAGAGAATTGCTCTGTGTTGGTCTCTGGGCATTTAGGGCTCAGTAGGGCTGGAGACGCCTTTGTTGGGTGGCAGGAAGGACGTCTCAGATAAATCCCGGTGTGTGCGTTTCCCATCTGCCTGCCACAACATACAACAATAGACAGTGTCACATCCAGACAGACTGCATCGCTCAAGGAGGGCGCATCAGGGTCACGGCTACCATCGCGGCATGTAATGGCGATCAATCTGGCTTTGCAGGGACAAGAAAAACATAGTGTGCTGGTGGATTTATGATGACAACTTGGCACATCTCTCTTCCCTCCCTTCCCTGTTTGCTACCCAGTATTGGGTCAGGGGACTCCCAAGTGTCTAAACCAGCTCCTGTCCTTCCTTGGTGTGCCAAGGCAGAGAGGCCCCCCACCCCCGGCCCTGCCTTCGCTGGTATGAAAATGCACATATCGGGGAAACCCTGTTAGAAGTGGTATGTCCGCTTAAATAAACCAGAGACACCGAGTAATCATTTTCCAAGGATTTATGCGACATTGCAAGGTTTGGGCATTCACAGCGGGGATTTGTTATTTGAAGACCAAGGACTGTGCCACACATCAGTGGATGAGTCATCCACACACATGGATTCTTGTGGAAATTGAAGACTGCACTGGATGGAACCCACAGCCCCAAATCCCAGCCACAAGGGGCCACCCCTTTTGAGCCTTCAGCCTGAGGCTGGGGTCAGAACTGCATTCCGGCCATGTAGTTTCTCCTTGAACCCTAGTTCCCTGCCTTGTAAAACAGGATAACAACAGAACCTGGTGTGTGAGAATTAGCGGCTGCCTACGCCTAGCGTTGTGTCTGGCAGGATACTTGTATGCAGTAAATCTTCGTCTTGGTCCTCTTGCGTTTTCCTGCCACTCACCGGATGAGGGAATGAGAGCCACCTGTTGTAATAGTGGTGGTCATGTGATTGACAAGGGCTTGTCCAGGTGTCCTAAGCTGTCGGGTTGGAAAGAACCAGGAAGTTTTGCACTTTTCACCATACATAAGACAGCCACCTAATAGTTTTTCTCATCCCTCTCCACTTTCTGGGAAAAAGTTAGCTTTTCATATTATTGTAGGAAAAAATGACTTTGGTTCCCCTATCGGCTTTCTCACTATTTTATTTTGAACTCCACCACCACCGCCGCCACCCCAAGAGAAAGCATGCAATGTTTGAGTGGGAAGATCTGCCTTCACCTGACTTTGTTGCTTGTAACATCTATGCTATTTGCAAAGCTCTCTCCAGCCCACTGAGCTCCAGGCTGCTCTGTAAACTGAGGATGGTAACCCTACCCTCGGTCCCCCGTGAGGCTCCAGTGTGGCGGTGGAGCTGCACGTGCCCAGCAGACCAAGGCACTTTAGTAAGCTGGTTGTCGTTTTCATCTGTCTTGGCTACTGCCTGAGGAACTGCTTCCAAGTCATTGAGACCCAGCCACAGGGATCAAACGCAGCTGCCGTCACTAAGCACTTCCTGTGCACCACGCATCCTGCTGGCCACCATCGCGTGATAACGGTGCACGATCGTGCATATGATCTTCCTTAATCCTAGAATTACCTTCTAAGGTGGACATTCCCCTAAAAGGGCCAGCCACGTTCTTCTTCCTCTCTATTTGTTTTTCCCGGTCTGTTTTTGCAAAGCCCAGAGAACCCTAAAAGACTGGGGAAGATCTTCTACCAAGGCCCACTTATCGCCTCCCCGCCCCCTCACTGGAGCTGTTTACAGCTTAATTCCATTTAATGCAGCGAAGGAGTCTCAGCAGCTGCAGGTAGCCAGACGAGCCCCAGCACAAAGCCCCTGCCCGCAGCTGTTCAGGTGGAATGAAGGACACCTCCCACATCTTTGCAGAGAGGTGGTTCCGACCCCTCGGTCCACCCGCCAGGTCCTCAGTGCAAGAAGCTGTCATTCACCCAGCATTCAGCTGTCAGTGGGACTTATTTTTTTAAAAAATCAAAAACCAAGATTTTGACAGGCTCATTAAGATTCATGTCACTTGGGCTTGTAAGCTGATGGGTGAATATCTTAAAAACAAACACCAGCCAAGAAGAAACAGGGAAGGAAGACCAAAATAGCAAGAGGCTGGATACAGAGGTGAGGGAGGCAACCAGCGGAAAGGAGCCAGCACATGACAGATACACCTGTTAGCCTGGGACCCCAGAGTTTACCCAGCAAGCAGATGGGTCCTCCCCAAGATGAAGGGCATGGCCTTAGCTGGAGGATGTACTTTTAAAAACAATTTAAAAATAAAACCAATTGTGCCCTTCTCAGTCCTCCAGTGAGGCCAGGACAGGCAGATGGAGACCAGGAACCCTCATCTGCTGGACAACAAAATCACAGCACTCAAGGACTGCCTCACCTCTGGAGTTGGAGCAAACTCTGGGCCGTGAAGAAGCGGTCAGTGAAATCGGACGCTGTGAATGCTCTGGCAGGAGCTCAAAGGGAAGGCGAACACTTGACCGTTTGCCAAAGGAATGTTGCACAGATCGCGTTAGGGGGAGTAGCAGAAACGGGGTGCAGGCTGACACCTCTGCCTCTGGCCCCCAGTGTTCCCCGACTCTAGGCCAGTTCCTTCATTCCTCTGCGGCTGAGATCTCCCCCATGAAGTTAGGATCTTCCCCTGCTCTGCAGGAATACCTGGGGACTCCCCAAGTTCATGGGAACATGGATTGAAAGATAAGTTTATT